ATGAAGGCGTAAGGTTCTAACTATTAAAATGATTATCAGGTGGTCGGATATTTATGGTAATTGTTATATTACAGATTTGGGGTTATGTGGACCAGTTGATGAAAAGTCATCAAATAAAATCTATGGAATTGTATCATATGTTGCACCCGAGCTACTTAGAGGCAAAAAGAATATAAAGAACACAAAAGAGACAGATATCTATAGTGTTGGAATGTTGATGTGGGAAATATTTGCAGGCCATCCACCATTTGATAATAGAGCTCACAATCATTGTTTGATTTTTGATATATGTGAAGAAGGTTTACGACCACCAATACTACCTGGAATGCCTGATGATTATGTGCAAATGATGCAGAGGTGTTGGGATGTGGATCCATCAAAAAGACCAACTAGTGAAGAGCTTTGGACATTTGCTGAAAATAAATATGACGAAATTATTAAAAATAAAAATGATGATAATGGTAATCATACTACTAGTAGTGGTAGTGGTGCTTCGCAACAAGTACACAAATCACATCCAGATGCATATCATAAAAGTAGAATATTAGATGAAGAGATTGCTAAATATAAAAGCTTAAGAAGTAATAAATAATCTTGATTGTGACTCTTTTCTCTAGAATGTTAACAAAGGTGAATAAAATTTCATTATTAATCAATTGGAAATTACTATCCATTAATTATTACTAACAATATTAATTAATTAAATATTTAACACTAGATTCTAGTAATTATAGTAAAGAAAGATCGATGAACGACTAATTTAATCTCCACTATAATTATTTATTTTTTTATTTTTTTTTATTTTTTTTATTTTATCCTTATATTGTTTCTTAAAGTTAAATTATAATAATAATAAATTTTTTTGATTCTTGTTAAATGGTGGCATTATCTCAGTTAATTAACAATTATGGCTTAACTTTTAAGCAATTCTTTGTTAGTTAGTTGCAAGCAATTTTCAATAATTCGGAGCTTATCAATTAAATTAATTTACAATTTTACTTTACTGCATCTAAATGAACCTGTGAGCACACTTAAAATGGTACTAGACGGCCCTTTTACAAAGCTCAAGGGCTTCTATAAATTTTCTTATATTCACTTGAGATCAATTTATTTCAGTTGTTTACAATTATTGGCCGATTGCAAACTTGCTTTTATTCACAAAACAACTCAAACAGTTTGTTTAAAAGCCTTACGTTTACTACTAAAATAATACTACTAGTATTTCCGATTAACCTTTGGACGATACTTTATTTGTTAGTCCAAACCTTTGCTTACTCACTAAAGCAAATAAAAAATGGCTTTTTACACAGTAATTTGATAATAATTATAAAAAGCTTTTGCGCAAAATTTTCATTTGATAATAATTATACACTAAATTAGTTGACCCTGGAACATAAAGTACCGAATCCCTAACCGATGTTTGATCATGCATCACGTTATTAATATTATTAATATAAGAAATGTTCGAGTTTAGTAGTAAATGAGTGTGTGGGAACTGAATTTGTATTCAGCAAAAGAAAAACTTGGCTCCTTAGGAACAACTGACGAAACAAAGGAGAGATTGGGATACTCAAGAAAAAAGATCTTGGAATATATATTTACAAGTTTTTTTTTTTGTAAGTATTTCTATTTTATCAACCTTTAAAGCAATTTTACTTGCGTCATTTTTGACTTAATGGCAGCGAATTTGACGTAATAGTTTTACAACTTTGGTAACATTTCGTCAAACAACATTACAAGTAATAGAAGAAAAGCCATGGATTCCTAAAGAAGAATTGAGAGGATTAGTCCAGAGGGCAATTTCATTAGCAACAAATATATCTATACATTCAAGGTTTGGAGCAACGTCAAAAACTTCTCAGCACCTTGAGCGAATGGAAACGCAAAACAAACGGACTTATGTGACTAAACGTAACTATTTCTGCAATTAGATCCTCTTCCTTGTGAGAATCCATCATACACTAGTAAGTAAGTTTTATCTTACTAGACATTGGTGTGTCTTCAAGGTAATACTAAATAATGTCATCCAGTTCGGGAGAAACAGAGCCTTGCTAGTGTGGATAGAATAGGAGAAGAAAGTCATTCTGGAAGACGACTAGATATATAATAATGTTTATATCAAAATATGGAGATTATGTCTCTTGATCCAAGATGGCCGGATAAATTGCACAACCAATTCCGAACATACTTTTATAATTGAATGCTCACGCTTAATTTGCAACGATCGCAAAAAAAGAGATGACGGTGTTAAGAAGTTAATTATGGGTCCTATATGGTGTAAACCAGACAAAGATGAGTTTGTAATAATTGGAACCCAGGTTAACTTATATCCGGATCAATGCCTGAAAAAAAAAAATTTTTTCCAGCATCAACAATTACTGAAAAGGATAAAAATAAAGAAAATTTAAAAGGATAAATATAATGAGATAGATTTATTAAAGAGTGAACTTGATGTTTTACTTAAATATTATATGTTGTTAATATCACTTGGTTAAATGGTGATAAAAGCATGAATTATGAAAATGAAAAATTTACCAGAACTAGTAAAGATAGGACTGTGGCATTAAAAAAACTACATGATTCACAGAATATTTCTGATGAATTTCTTAATGAGGTAAATTATCTTGTTTTTTTGTTTATTTTCAGATTTTTTAAATATGATTAAATATTGTTGTAATTAAATATTTTATTTATTATTTAGTTCAAAAATTATATGAAGTTTTATGGTAAAAATGATATAATTCAAATTTATGGTTTAACACAAGATCCAATTACAAAAGAATATATATTTGTAATGCCATATATGAAAGATGGAAGTCTTCAAAATTATTTAACTAAAGATTTTAAAAATTTAAAATGGAAAGAAAAAATTGGTATTCTTTATTATATTATTAGAGGTTTAAATGATATTCATGAAGAAGAAATTATTCATTGTGATCTTCATAGTGGTAATATTCTTCAAGAAAAAGAGGGTATGTGGTCATATATTACAGACTTAGGATTATCATGCTCAGCTAGTCAAGCATCATCAAACAAAAATGATATATGTGGAGTATTACCATATATTGCACCAGAAGTTTTAAGGGAGAAACCATATACAACTGCATCAGACATATATAGTTTTGGAGTTCTGATGTCTGTAATTTCAACTGGCCAACAACCATTTAATAATTTGGCACATGATGTTAGTCTTGCAATGAAAATATGTAAAGGTGCAAGACCTGGTTTCTCAAACAATACACCAAAACACTATATTGAACTAGCATTCAAATGCATGGATGCTAATCCAGATAAACGTCCAACTGCTGAAAAAATTTATAAGATTATTGATTATTGGTATTATTACTATAGGACAGGTCGTCAATATGAATCAATTAATGAAGAGTTTGATAAAATGGATGAAATAGAATTTGATCCTTCAACAATTACTGCAGTAATTCATCCAAATGCAATTTATACTAGCAGATTATTAAATTTTACAAACCTTCCCCAACCTGTGAATTCCAATAAAGTAACAATTATTGGTAATAATAATGGTAATAATTAATATTCAATCATTGACTATTTTCATTTTTATTAAATTAACAATATCTATTAATATTCATTCTTGTGATAAATATTTGTAGATTCTATACAAATTGATTTAGCTATACCAGATGACTTATTTGAATAAGTTAAATCTTGTCACTTATTATGTATTATTTATTTATTTTTATTATCTGGCTACTATAGTTTAAATGTCTTGAGTAATGATATTATATAATAACTTCTTTGGATTTTTGAAATTTGGATTGCCAAATATGCATGCTAAATAAAAAATAATAATTTTTGACAAAAAAATAAATGTAAATTTTTAATAATCATTGTTATCATTCATACATAATTGCATATTGTTTGTTTCTTACCTTTTCAAATCAATGGTTTCATTTTTTATAATATTCACAAATTGAAGTGATGTACTATCAATATATCATATAATATACCAATAATTTATTAATATTAAATATTTTAAAATTTAATACACATGTATCTGAATAATTTAAATATCAAGTAAAAAGCCAACTGACACAACTACAGTATACTGATTGTGAGTTTTGTTGAATCAAACAATGTCATACTCCTGATCTTATTTGGAAACCCTGACATGGAATCTTTGATGTTTATTCCAATAAGAAAGGACACTATGAGTACATTAAAGAATACCACCTTCAATAGATATCTAGGTCCTGTTTGTGTTGGTACTAGCCACATTGATGCTTGAGAGAAGAAGAAATTTTAAAAATTAGAACCAGGTACTGGCCACCAAAAATGTAAACATCTATCAAAAACCACAACCTTGCCATTTGAATTTCCTTTTTAAAAAGAAATAAATGTGTAAAGGCTTCCTCAGACCTTCTACACCTTGGTGATGACCAAAGACCAATGGACCCACTTGCATGAAATGGTAATACTATGCTAAGCAATCACCCATTGCACATTTACCTGCACTACCACAATATGCCAGAACAAGTTGTGGAAGGACCCTGAGATGGCGAATTAGGCATTTCTTCAAACATGATTACATGCACAACTTTACCTACTGAAAAAAAGAAACATCTCACTTAATGCAAACCATGCAGACATTCCATCATGGAAAACATTGTATAAATTGGTCATGAAGTATCAGATTACACCATTGTAACCATCAAATGGAGAATTATGCTACAAAGGGTACCCTCAGCTGCTATCTGAAAAACCTATTGGAATAGTCACATAGATTTTCAATATGTGATGTCCACAGGATTTGTGAAATACATCATAAATCTGACTGAAAACATATCATGACGAGGAGGCTAGATGCAATGGAATTGATGATATTTTTGCTCCAATACCTAGTAACCAGACATTGAAAGTGATGAGAAGAATGGTGAGAGCAAGTAATCCTCACTGTGATGAGTTAGATACATCGTTAGATTTTGAGCATCTTGAGCTTCTGGTGAGGTTTAATTTAAAGAAATACTCCTTTTTTTAGTTTCTCTTCATAAATTATTATTTTTTAATATGAGTTTGAGAACCAACAGTATTTAAAGATGATGGATTTGATGACGATGTTTCTAGGCTTAGAATAGGATAACAATCATGATTGTTGTGTTCCTTTAATTCTGGATCAATAGTATAATTATTTGACAAGTTAAATAAGTGAGTTGATATGACAAATAAAAGGAAAAACAGATTTATCTCTAATTCAGGGTTTATTCAGCTAATTAATTGATTTTCCTGCAAAAATAATCTAGAAACTTGTCCTATTAAAGGTGTGTTGACTTCAAAAGAAGGTTTATCAAAGTCTTTTATGCCATTTAATGAATGGGATGGAGTTGGTGCAATATAAATGTGTCCAGAGTCACATTGCCATACTTTTCTGTCTAATAATATTTCAAGGAAGACAAATTTTATTTTTGATTAATTATGACAAAAACATTTCATCAGGCATCATTTAATCATGACATCATCAATGACTCATTTTTGACATTTAACTTTAGTAATTGTCAATTGTATCATTTATCATTCTATTTTATTTTATTTTATTGGACAAAATCATGTTATTTGTAATACTTTAAGAAGTATAAATATGTTTAAAATCTCCTTTAGTGAAAAAAAATTATTCAATAAAAATAAATAATTGATCTTGTAACACATTTGTAATAAAAATAACACTTTCTTTAATTGATGAACCTGGCATGATTGATCAATTCATAACCCTTTCTGATGATTGATGGTTTGGCCAACATTTAATTATTAGTTAGAGACCCCTTTTATTAGTTTTACTATATTGCTTGCAGGGACGCCTCAAGTAGTGTAGTTGTATATTTTAGTTTAGTTTGAACATTATTGTGCCAGATTTAGTGACTCTGCAATAGTGTTGAGTTTCTATTCGTAATAAGATTTTTGTTCAAATTATTCAAATCATTTGTTTTGTTTGAATTGTTATCATTTGTTTATTATTTGAATTTTATCATTCGTTTATTAGACTTGTTACCATTTGATTATTATTCGAATTGTATCATTCGTTTATTGTTATTATTCGAATTGTATCATTCGTTTATTATTCGAATTGTTATCATTATTTATTATTTGAATTATTCAAATCATTCGTTTATCATTCGCATTGAGATCATTCGTTTATCATTCGAATTGACATCGTTCATTTATTATTTGAATTGTTATCATCATTCGTTTATTATTTGAATCGACATTGTTTGTTTATCATTCGAATTGACATCATTTGTTTATCATTCGAATTGACATCATCATTTGTTTATCATTCGAATTGTTATCATTCATTTATTATTCGAATTGACATCATTGATTTATCATTCGAATTGCATCATTCATTTATTATTATCATTCAAATTGACATCATTCGTTTATCATTTGAATTGTATCATTCATTTATTATTATCATTCGAATTGACATCATTCGTTTATCATTATTATTTGAATTATCATCATTCGTTTATCATTATTATTCGAATTATCATCATTTGTTATTATTATTATTCAAATTGAGATCATTTTTTTATCATTATTATTTGAATTAACATCATTTGTTTATTCAAATATTTGTTTTGCTTGAATTATTCATTTTATTTCGTTTATTCATTTTATTATTCAAACTATTTGTTTATTCATTTTATTCAAACTATTTGAATTATTCAAATTATTATTATTCGTTTATTTGTTTTATTTAAATTATCGATTGAATTATTTATTTTATTTGTTTATTGGTTTATTTGAATTATTCATTCATTTGTTTTATTTGAATTATTGAATTATCAAATTATTCGTTATTTATTTTATTTGAATACTCAAATTCATAACAAGTAAAACAAATAATCCGAATAAACCCTTATTCAAATAGAAGCAGTATAGTTGTATGTAGTGATTTTAATTTAGTTTGCCAGATTTGGTGACTCCAATAACTCTGATTGCATGCTTGCAATATTTATTACAGTTTTATGACTTTAGGGTGTCAATGCTGAATTGTTGTAGTTCAGGTAAAATTTTAATTTTTTTTTTTATATATTTAATATTAATTAATATATTTTTTGTGATATATATTTGTGCCAAAAAAAAAAAAACCTTTTTTTTACAATGGAGAACATTTTGGATGAAAATAAACATCATGACAATACTTCTACTGACAAAATGATGAATATTCTGATGAAAGAAAGAAATATTATGGGGAATGTCCAACATGCAATAGATATAATGCCCATTGAGCATGGTGTCAATCATGTGATCCAAAGCTATTAACTGAAGGATGGACTAGTGACAATGAAACATTAGATGAATTGATTAAAAGCACACAACTTAAAGCAACTGATTATAATAATGATTATTATCTTCAATGGATTCCTTATAATGATTTAACAAATATTGAAAAGATAGGTGAAGGTGGGTTTGGAACTATATCCAAAGCTACTTGGTTAAATGGTAGGAAATATACTAATAGAAATAAAAGAACTAGCAAAGATATGACTGTGGCATTAAAAAAACTACATAATTCACAGAATATTTCTGATGAATTTCTTAATGAGGCAATTTATTTTATTTTTCTATTTATTTTCAGATTTTTTAGATATTATTGATTATTAATTATTGTAGTAACTAAATATTTTATTTGGTGTTTTAGTTCAAAAATTATATAAAATTTCATGGTAAAAATGATATAATTCGTATCTATGGATTAACACAAGATCCAATTACCAAAGAATATACATTTGTAATGATGTATATGGAAGATGGAAGTCTTCAAAATTATTTAACTAAAAATTTTAAAAATTTAAAATGGAAGCAGAAAATTGATATTCTTAAACAAATTATTAAAGGTTTGACAGATATTCATGAAAAAGAAATTATCCATCATGACCTCATAGTGGTAATGTTCTTCAATCTAAAGAAAATATGTGGTCATTTATTGCAGACTTGGGACTATCATGCCCAGCCAATCAAGCATCAACAAACAAAAATGATATATTTGGAGTATTACCATATCTTGCACCAGAAGTTTTAAAAGGGAGGCCATATACAATGGCATCAGATATATATAGTTTGGGAGTTCTGATGTCTGTAATATCAACTGGTCAACAACCTTTTAATAATTTGGCACATGACCTAGATCTTGCAATGAAAATATGTGAAGGTGCAAGACCAGGATTTTCAAACAACACACTAAAATTCTATATTAAATTAGCATTCAAATGCATGGATGCTAATCCAGGTAAACATCCAATTGCTGAAGAAATTTGTAAGATTATTAATGATTGGTATTTTCATCAAAATGAATCAATTAGAAAAGAGTTTGAGAAAATTGATGAAATAAAATTTGATCCTTCAACAATTACTGCAACAATTCATCCAAATGCAATTTATACTAGCAGATTATTAAATTTTACAAACCTTCCCCAACTTGTGAATTCCAATAAAGTAACAATTATTGGTAACAATTATTAATATTCAATCATTGATTTTTATTAACATTAACAATATTTATTAATATCCATTCTTGTGATAAATATTGTAGATTCTAAACAAATTGATTTAACTATACCAGATATAAGTTAAATTCTGTCACTTATTATGTATTAAATTATTTATTTATTTTTATTTATCTGGCTACTATATATTATATAAAAATGTAATTTTTTCAAATTGAATTTAAATATATATTTTTTATTTTTATTAATTTTTAACAACTATATAACTGTAATACCTTGATAAATTAAACATTAATAAAGTTATTAATTATGTAAATATTATTGCAACATGGATTCTCAATGCCGTTTGTTTGCATAGGGTCTGTTAAGTATCACTTTTTTGGTGTTAAGAAACAGGAGTGTTGTTCAATGCTATTTGACATCTCTAAAAATCTTTGATGAAGTTAGTTTATAAAGGTAAAAAAATACATTTTCAATTGCAAAATTAGAATTTAGATAATTATTTTAGATAGTAAAAAGCATTCATTATATATATGTGGCTAAAGTATCAGAAGGAATTGATGTAGAAAGAAGCTCTTCTGTGTATAAAATTGGTTTTATTAATATTCATTTTTTAATAATTCCTAATACCAGCACTAACATTGCAACATTAAAAAGAAACAGAATCAACAAAATCATCCATTTCATTATAAATGAATAAATAAACAGATAGATTTAAATTTTACTGTTTTACAAAACTAAAGGCATTGTATAGAAATACTTGACATTAAATATTTAACAATAAACATTAAACGTTGTTAAACATTAAACATTTAGCATTTCATATCAATTGGCTGAAATAAATATTAAGAGGTCAAAAATTTCATATTATTTTTATTAGCACATGATGCAAGCCGGCTAAGAAATCAAATGACTTCTGATAAAGTTTACCTGTAAATATTATTCTAATAATGAACAAAATCAACAGAAATCAAGAGATCAGAAATAACAGTCTTTTTGATAAGATATTTCAGAAGTAAATTAGATTTCCATTGAACAAAGCAAACTTAATAAATAATATATTATTAATATTAAATGAATTTGATTTTAATATAAACATATTCAATGCCACAAAAAATACCTTTATGCTATGAGTGTTGTATTGTATAAAGATTAGAGATTGTGAACAGCAACAGGTTGCAATTGTCACAATCATTATAAACAATAATACCAACACCAACAACAACAACAACAACAATAATAATAGTCACTTGTCCTCTTCCCCTCTTTGATGATTGTGAAAAAAAAATAGTTGACTGAGAAATGCTAATGCCCTTGATCTTTTTCTTTTTTGGTATTAGTGTGTTAACATTAATGTGACTCACATCAACCCAATCCCCTTTGAACTTGTTTTCGATATCAGAATCACCATCTTAAAAAAAACATCATTTAGATTAATTTACAAAAACCTAATTTATTTTTATTGAATAGTTATTTTCTATCATTCTCAAGTTGTATTTCTCCTAGACTTTCTGCAATTGAATTTCATCATTATGTAAAAAATCAATTTCCTGGAATAAATTTGTATCTTATTTTATCTTCTGAGCTTACTAATATCAACAAAATAATTAATATTATGTCTTAAAAAATAATAAAGTATTAATCTTTTTTGTTAAATTTTGCAAGAATACGAAATAAATCCGTTGTTATTATTATTAATATTAAATATTAACAAAAAAGTTAATTCGTGAAAGGTTTAATATCTCAAGTTTCATAGTAATAAATAAAAATTTTGCTGTTATTGCGCAAGCCAGCTAAGAAATCAAACGACTTCTGATAAAGTTTACCTGTAAATATTATTCTAATAATGAACAAAATCAACAGAAATCAAGAGAACAGAAATAACAGTCTTTTTGATAAGATATTTCAGAAGTAAATTAGATTTCCATTGAACAAAGCAAACCTAATAAATAATATATTATTAATATTAAATGAATTTGATTTTAATATAAACATATTCAATGCCACAAAAAATACCTTTATGCTATGAGTGTTGTATTGTATAAAGATTAGAGATTGTGAACAGCAACAGGTTGCAATTGTCACAATCATTATAAACAATAATACCAACACCAACAACAACAACAACAACAATAATAATAGTCACTTGTCCTCTTCCCCTCTTTGATGATTGTGAAAAAAAAATAGTTGACTGAGAAATGCTAATGCCCTTGATCTTTTTCTTTTTTGGTATTAGTGTGTTAACATTAATGTGACTCACATCAACCCAATCCCCTTTGAACTTGTTTTCGATATCAGAATCACCATCTTAAAAAAAACATCATTTAGATTAATTTACAAAAACCTAATTTATTTTTATTGAATAGTTATTTTCTATCATTCTCAAGTTGTATTTCTCCTAGACTTTCTGCAATTGAATTTCATCATTATGTAAAAAATCAATTTCCTGGAATAAATTTGTATCTTATTTTATCTTCTGAGCTTACTAATATCAACAAAATAATTAATATTATGTCTTAAAAAATAATAAAGTATTAATCTTTTTTGTTAAATTTTGCAAGAATACGAAATAAATCCGTTGTTATTATTATTAATATTAAATATTAACAAAAAAGTTAATTCGTGAAAGGTTTAATATCTCAAGTTTCATAGTAATAAATAAAAATTTTGCTGTTATTGCGCATGTATTACAGTCAGTATGGATATTCAATTTGAGAAATTTTTATTGAAAATCTTTCTTAATGAATATTATAAATTCTGATTGGCTAAAACTACTATTATTTTTATAAGCTTTACCAAAAATAAAATAAATAAAAAAATTAAAATTAAACTTGGGTTAAAAGGTATGATTTCGATTTATTATATTTTTTTTTACCAATCATCACACACCATTAGCTTTTAAAATTGGTGGTAGAAATGTATTACTAGTAAATAAGTTTTTATGTTAGTGATGATTAGCAGATTATTGTAGATGTTTTAATGTTGATTATTAGATTTTATTAGATTAAGCTTGAACTGATCATAAGATGTTAAATTATTTATTAGATCTATTTATTGCAAACAATAACAATTCAAAAGAAAACATATTATAATCTCATTTGAGAGAAATAAAATGTAAATATTGCATTTATGAAGAAAATATTATAATGAAAAAAAAAATTTAATAATAATAATATAATTCATTTATTAACTACAATTTAATTCTTCTTGGTTATTATAAAAATTTATTATAAATAAAAATAATTTTTATTGTTTTATTTATTTCCAAAATTTTTATCATAGAAATGGGAACAAATTTAAAATCAAATCAAGATTTTCATAATTCTATAGATTTTACATCAAACATATCATCAACATCATCGCTATCACCTAATAACAACATGTCAAAATCTCGTCGTGACTCTTCTTCGCACCTTCAACAATTTTATTATCAAAATCACAATAACAAACAATTAAAACTACAACAACAACATCACAATGAAGCTGAAGAATATGAATTAATTGAAAAGAATATCATCACGTCCCAAGGCGTCGAAGAACTCTTTGATAAAGTTTTAAAATTAGTACAACCTCAACAAAGGAAATTATCAATGTCAATGTCAATGTCATTATCACCATCATTATCAGCTTCTATAGCCAGTAACCCTAATAATCCTAATAATCCTAATACCTTATTCTCATCTCCTACATCTACATCAATGTCTGCATCTACATTTCCTACATCTACGTCATCTTCCATAAAAGGAAACAAACCATTTTTACAAAAGTCATCATTATCATCGCCCTCTTCTTTATTATCAGCACCAACAGAAATCGGTAAACCTTTAGCTATGGAAAGACAATCATTAGATCGCCCTTTAGTTAAAACAACCGCAAAAAAAATCGGTTCACTACAATATAACAACAGCATCATTACAATCAATAACAATATCATTATTAATAGGAATAAAGACTTTCAATGTTATGGTCTTTTTGCTCAATCAAATATATCATTAGGGAATTTCATTGCAGAGTATAAAGGTGAAGTTTGTTTAAAATCAGACTACAAAGATAATCCTACAAATGGATACAAAGATCTTGGCACCACGAAGCCATATGTTTTATTTTATCCAACATTAGATTTGTGTGTAGATGCTCGTCGTTATGGAACATATGCAAGGTTTGTTAGACGTTCATGTAATCCTAATGCTGAAACACGAACAATGTATATTAATGATGGTATAGTTAAAGATCGCCAATTACATTTGGGTATATTTGCCAAATGTGATATAATGCAAAATCAAGAAATAACAGTTGGTTGGAACTGGGATAATCAACATGTTGCTCATATTTTTATAAGGAAAGATGGCGGTGGTGATGTTGGTGGTAAAGGAAGAGACAACGATGATTTAGATCAAGTCATTGATTTAAATAAAAGGATTCAAATGGGTACCGTCGTTTACAATTTGTTAAAGTTTACAGAATGTGCCTGTGAAGATAAAAATAATTGTGTTATTGAGAAAATGAAGAATTACGCAAAGAAACCAAAAGATGATTTGACTAAAAATAAAGAAGGTATGATAAATTTAATTTAATTAATGATTTAAAATTAATTAATCAAAAATTAATTTTTAAATATTGTTATTTTAGGTTATTATTTTGACCCGCAACAAAGCAATAATCCATATAATAAGAGAAAAATACAAGTTTCATCTTATGGTTAGTTGGTACTATTCCTTTATATATATATATATATATATGTGAGTGTGTTAGTTGTAATTCACAAAATAATAAAATAATAGAATAATAATAACAATAATAATAATAATAACAATTTTTAAAGCAGATAACAATAAAAACAATGATGACAACGATCAAGACGAAGAGATAGAAATAGAAGAAGTTTACTCGCCTACTTTTAATCAAATAAACAATAATAAATACACTGCATCATCATCGTCATCATCAAAATATAATAATCCACCAAAATTTTATGAATCTGACGTGAATTTTCAAGAATTTTTAGATTTATGGATGAATTGTCTGCAATCTACTACATATATTACAAACAATTCAATGATTATCGATCATAATGCTAATACTACTACTACTAACACTGTTGCTGCTGCCACGTACAATAAACCTTCTACTAACACTGTTAGTGCTACTGATATTGCTACATACCAAAACAAATCTTCAACTTCAATTAGCAGCAGTAACAACAAGGGCAGTAAAGAATCAGAGGTCGTTAAATCGATGGAGTTAGATTATGTTGACAGAAATGAATATAATAATAGATCAGAGATGAAAGGAATTAACATAGACGATGATAAAAAATCAAAAGGACTTGATAATAGTAGTAGTCATAATAATTACAACAAGATTATTGATTTAGAACATGATACCGGAGCAATGCATTCACAAAGTTCTACTATTGTTACAACTACTACACCTACAACTGCGATTAATAGTGGTAGGAAATCAAGATATGTTTCATTTAGTAGTCAGTTTCCTTATTCCACAAATCCAAATCAATCTAAGCCTAATGCAGACGCTAAAAGTGAGATTAGTAGTTTAATTGATAAAAATGAAGAGTATTCAAGTAAATTAGATTTTAAACCATCATCGAAAAGACGTAAACTAAGTCCCACTAGAGAACCAGTTTTATTTCCTTCTAATTTATCTTCTATCGAAAATAAGTATATGGAAATTGTAAAAGATCATCAACCACAGCAATCAAATATAAGCAAAACATCATCATCACCTTCAACTTTATCAACTAATATTGATATACGTAATCAATCAACAACATCATCACCTGCATCTTACACAAACAATAATGATGACGATGATGATAAATTAAATTTAAAAAATACACAATTAGACTCTTTTAAACACACACAAATCAATTTATCGAAACCATCACCAAAAACAACTTCATCGTCATTACATCTTGATACAACTACAAAAATATCTAACATATTATCATCATCTAAATCGCCAATATTAACTTCACCAACTGTAACAACTTCAATACCTGAAATATCAAAAAATACTTCATCAACATTATCACCATCGTCACAATATCACACAAATAAAACTTTCAATCCAACAATAAAAGCTTTGCCGTCAACAATAACGACGGCACCATCGTCATCATCACAACTTTATCAACTAATATTGATATACGTAATCAATCAACAACATCATCACCTGCATCTTACACAAACAATAATGATGACGATGATGATAAATTAAATTTAAAAAATACACAATTAGACTCTTTTAAACACACACAAATCAATTTATCGAAACCATCACCAAAAACAACTTCATCGTCATTACATCTTGATACAACTACAAAAATATCTAACATATTATCATCATCTAAATCGCCAATATTAACTTCACCAACTGTAACAACTTCAATACCTGAAATATCAAAAAATACTTCATCAACATTATCACCATCGTCACAATATCACACAAATAAAACTTTCAATCCAACAATAAAAGCTTTGCCGTCAACAATAACGACGGCACCATCGTCATCATCATGTCGTCATTTAGAAACATTAAAAACAACTAACACCTCGCATTTAAATATTTACCCCAATAAATCTCCATCAATAAATACCAACATTTCTAAAAATTTACAATCTGACTTTACAAAATCACAAGAAACAACTACGAAACCAAACATTACCATCAACGCCACCACAAATAATAATATCACATCTTCTACAGCCAAAACTCAATCAACTGAATCCAAGAAAAAAACACTTTCACTTTCAGAATATAAACAAATGAAAGTTCTAACCGGTTCTTCGTTGACTTCGAAAACTGAAGAATCAAAGAAACCATTAATAGAATCTCAATCAAACAATACACCGTCATCATCATCACCATCTACTACATTACCAATGCTAACGTCAATAACGTCAACAACTACTAATACTAATGCTACATCAATAATATCTTCGACACAAACATCACTACCGCCATTATCTTCACCATCTAAATTTTCTACCGCTACTACTGAACAACAAAGTAAAACCGAATTAAATAATATTAATAAAATTGAAGAAATGCACTCATCGTACTCTACCACTACCCCTCCCAATATATTAACAACATATTATAAACAGCAATCGTCAACGTCATCATCATCATTTCCTCCATCTACATCATCAACAAAAATAACGGAGGACAACAACAAGAATGACAATTCTAGCTCACCAGATAGTCAAATAGTTGCAATGACAAATGATGGTTATTTCCCGGTAGATTTCAATATCGATCTTCCGATCACTTCTTCGCATATTTCTAAATCAAAAGACTACTTGCCAACGTCATATGAATATCACACATCAAAAGATATTGATTCTATAAACCAAACTGAATATAGGAGATCTTCTTCCTCCTCTTCTTCAAAACCACCACTAATATCTCCACGCGGAATACCACCACCACGTAGTTATCATAATGGAGGTGGTGGCAGCGGTAGTGGTAGCAGTCATTACAGAGTTGGAAAGTCATCATCAGGTGGCCATTTTAGAGGTATGCCTACATCACCAGGTGAAAGAGGTGGAGGAGGAAGATATCATGGAGGTCTGGGTAATTTTAATTCACCAGATTCGTCACCTGTCACACAAAGACGTCCAACGGTTCCATCACCGCCATCACCGCCACCACCACCTTCTTCCTCTTCAATATTAATGTCACCATCATCGTCCTCACCTTATGATCCAGAAAATCCAGATGGACAACCAATACTGTCATCAACAACTAATAATGATCGGGATCAAATTCAATCAATTGATAACAGTGGTTTAATAAATGGTGGTGGTATGCCTAGTAGTAGTGGTAGTGGTGGTGGATTTGATGGGCAATCAAGAGATTATATGAGATCTATTGATGTTAGAGATAGAGGATGGGGTACGCATGATCGTACTAGAGAATGGAGAGAACGTGAGAGAGAACGTGAAGAATGTGGCAAAAGAAATGAAGATTATCGACTTCAAAGGTTCCCTGGTGATGTATGTATTATTTAGTTTGCTTGTTTTTTATTATTGTTATTAATGTAATGCTATAAGTTAAAAAAAATTTTTTTTTTGATTCATAGGATTATCGTAGAAATAGAAGATAGATCAAATTATTTTATTTTTTATTATAGTAATTAGATGGGTCATTTGATTACGATAAAATTATCGTATACACACACATATATATAAATACGTTATTTAATCTGTAAATATAAATCATTCAAAGTTAAATAAATTTTTTTTTTAAAAATACATTATATTTTTCAAATTGCTAATCGTTATTACTAATTAATCAAATTTAACTTTTAAGCTGCAATGTATAATAATTACTTTTATGACCGAAAGTTTTTTTATTATATGGAGGGCACTCTAGGAAAAAGGGGGTCCCTTTTTCCCATATAAAAGAGACGGTAATGGCGATAATGTTAAAAAAGAGTTATTTGACTCCATTATTTAATTATTTATAATCCATCAAACTATGCAAATACGTACAATTAATAACTTTGAACTGGATTCAGAATTTCAAATTAATTACTTTAAAGTTTCTCCTGAATGTGGACAAATTATCAGAAAATGTTTATCACCACCTATTATTCAATTATTTACTACTAGACAGTATCACAGATTATGAAAGAATAAAGATGGTTTAAAAAATAGCAACATTACATTAATATGAAAGTGTTGTTGACATTAACAAATTAAATATGGGGGGATGTTTGGATGAATAAATTCACATGGTATTCCAAACACTCAATTTCACATTAAGATAGAATCAATCGAAAAATTTTTAATATCTTTTATTTTGTGTTAACAAAAATAATCATAAAATCCAAAAATTATTTTCCAAGATTATTTATTTATTTGTCTTTGTCATCTTTAACATCTCGATATTCACCTTCTGACTCACCACCACTTTCACCAGATTGTCCTCCTTCACTTTCAGTATTTCCCTATTTTTATTAATGATTTTTAATTTTAATTTTCTTAAAAGGATTATCTTTTACTGACAAACAAACAAACAATAATATGTACCTTATACATTGCTTCAAACAATTTCAAACTGGCTTTTTGTAAATCGGCAGCTTTCAATCTAATATCTTCAGCTTTACCTGACGATGATGACAAATCAGATTCATCTTGAACACTGTGTTGCGAACTAGCGACCATATCACGTAACTCCTGAATTAGAGATTTAACACTATCAACTTCTGATTGATTGAGTCGATCGTGATATTCGGTCATTGCTTTTTCAGTTTCATATATAACTGAATCTGCATGATTTGTTGCCTCAACTATTTCCTTCCTCAATCGATCTGCATCTGCATGTGATTCAGCTTCGTGTATCATCTTTTCAATTTCTTGTTTACTTAATCCAGATGATGCAGCAATCGTTACTGGAAAAAAAAAGTTTTTTAATTAAGATAAATATATATTTAGCAAGAATAATTTAATTGTTGTTGTTACATACTTGATTGATCTTTTGAAGTAGCTTTATCTTGTGCTGACACATTTACTATTCCATCAGCATCAATATTAAAGGTAACCTCGACTTGTGGAACACCTTTTGGAGCGGGTGGAATTCCATCCAATTGGAAATTACCAAGGAATTTATTATCACGAACAAGTTCTCTTTCACCTTGATAAACTTTAATTTCAACTTTAGTTTGTCCATCAACAGCTGTTGAAAAAACTTGCGATTTCTTTGTGGGAATAGTTGTATTTTTGTTTATAAGACGTGCAAATACACCACCCAATGTCTCGATACCAAGTGACAATGGTGTTACGTCTAATAATAATAAATCAGACACCTCACCGGCCAATACACCACCTTGAATTGCAGCACCAATAGCAACTGCTTCATCTGGATTAACACTTTTTGTTGGTTCACGATTGAATATTGATTTGACAGACTCGAATACCTTGGGCACTCTGGTCATACCACCAACTAAAATTATTTCCCTGATATCTTTTTTATCAACATTAG